CTGTCCTAAGCGACCGAAGAAAAAAATGGAGAGAGAGATAGAAATGTCCATTTTTTCCCGACCAGGGCAAGTGCTGGCTTGGGAGTGGTTAGGTTGGCATGGTAACTATGAGGGTTTTGACAGTCACGGTAGAGTATCACAAGGTACAGTACTCGTATGATACCGGTAGTCCTCGTACAAAAACAGACCATCTTGTACGAGTACCATACATACCCATATTACATACCGTATATCAGTTGCTCCTGTCTCCCGAGAAAGTCCCGAGTGTTTGCTACACCATACCTGCCCGGCAAACACTCCACCCCTCGAATAAAGGACAAGTTTTCCCAAATAACTACGGTACGGCACGCTCCCCCGCCAGCCAAACCACAAACCATTCTCGGGCAGATATCATACCTCACCTCTTCTAGCTACAACTCTGCCGCCGCAATCCCACAGCAAAACAAACAGATCGAACCAACCAGCAGAGAAAGACGCAAACAACAACCGGGTGAGCCACCCGAAAATCCGGGCAAGCAAGCAAGCAAACACACAGCTACCTACAGTATAGATAATACCACACAAGCACTCAGCAGAACGGTAAGTTGGCGGGACCCACAGAGCCCAGGAATCAGAGCCAATCACCGGCACCCCCAGATCTCGCTTACCAAGACTTACGGGGATGAATGGCCTACCGTCACCTGTCTCTCAAGTGTGCACTGGTGATTGCGCCGAGGTAACTGGCTGGTACTATTTTGCTCCTATCTCGATATCATTATTTGGTTACAAATTGTGCGCTATCACTTGTTTAGTCTAGTGAGGTCGCCCGCAATCCCGGAGAGGAGCGGGAGGGTGGGGTGACTTTGGCTGGGTGGGGATCCATCTGATGTTTTATCGTGGCCGTAGACGTGCCAGAGGAGGAGGATTAAAGAGTTTCTCTTCGGGCCACGCTAGCGCACCCTGACCCTCCCAACAATATTGTGTACTTGTACCGATATGAGTTCGGTTACCCCCCTCCTTCCTCTGCTTGACCAAAAACTCTCCTCACACTCACAGAAACCACAATCACAACCCCTCACTCGTCAGATACTTTCGTAACGTCGTCGCGTTTTTCCGCACGTGCAACACAGACCCCCGGAAGCTGGAAGCGAGAAAGAAAAAGCAAGCCCTCGTTTCCCCCACCTTCAATAAACTCGTCGAGTCCCCGGAGGGAAGGGTACAGTATCGGCCATTCCGACCATCACATGTTCGCACAATGCAGCACGCTGCAGGTCCGGTGATCACTCAACTTCACAGAACTTGTGTCGGGTTGGCGAGGGAAAATGCAATAGTTAATATTAATAATAATACAGTGCCTGAATTTTTGACAGGGTGAAAGCATTATAAATACGTGAGCTACCGCAAATTCAAATGAAGATACTGTATGGGGGAGCACGAGAACGAGAGAAAAAGAAAAAGAAAAAAAACGCCCCGCGCCCGACTTGCATATTTTCCCTCCGATAAAGGAAAAGGAGATGGCCAATTTGGTGTGATGAAATCGATGGAAAATAGGTGGATAAATGGACATGCTGTAACGACCAGAGGAAATGTGGCAGGGAAGAGGGGAGGAATATCAGAAAGGAAGGCGACGCTATCCGGTAAATGCCTGACCTGAGCCCGGCCTACGGCAGAAAGACGACCAAGGCTCGTGTCCCCCGATGGAATAACAAAAAAAGGGAAAGCAGGGGATAAAATCGCTAACGAAATTGTGATTTAGAGGTGAAGTTGAAAAGAGGACCCCCCTCTCGGGAAAGAAGGAAGGGGGGAAAAAAAGGCGACGCGGGGAAGATCGGTAAGCAAGTCTGTTCACTCATCCCCATCCATCATTTCAAGAAATGCAATTTCGGTCTGTAATAGCCGTTCAAATTCCTCCCTGGCAATCCCCACACTCTTCGACAATCTATACAGGCTCTTAATGCTGGCGGAGATGTGTTGTTTGACGCCCGTTTCTGCCTGCATACTGAGGCTAGCCGCCTCCTCTAATTTGTCGACAGAGCTCCCCGCCGAGGAAGGCGATGAGCCGGCAGAAAGCGGGCGAGGTGCGTGTGTCACGACTTGCGGTAATGCTTCTTTGTCAATTAGGAAGGAAGCCGACACAGCGGTAGGCGGCGTAGAGGAAACGGTTGTAGGGGAGTATGATGATGAGTGCTGCACGGTGAGAGGATCAGTGTATCGTGAGTGCCCCGGAAGCGAGATTGCTGATGAACCCTCTGGCTCCAAAGCGGGTTGGGTGTTGTCATATTGCGAATAGTAATCATCATCCGCCACTTGATCTGCCTTTTGAGGCACCATGGGGCTCCGGGCAGGGGTGCGATCATACATATCCCAGTAGTCGTCATCGTCGTCGTTGTTATCCACCTTTAGGGTGTCATTGCCGTATGATGGAATAGGGTTAGCCACGGGTGGCACGGGCTTTGCGGATCTCTTGTAGAACGCTTCGTCCGCTTCGCCAACGGTCGGGCACCATTCGGTCTGCTCGGAATCCGATGAGAGGCGTAGGTCCATTATTCTCCACCCGTCATCCTCACCATCCGGGTCGTTGGCAACCCATAGGTAGACCGCTTCAATACTACGTTCCGGAAGCTGGACACATGCCTTTACCGTCTCCTTGTCCAACCGTTGGAATCCTTTCAAATCCAGCTCACCCAATTCTAATTCACCGGAGGCCGGGTGTGGGGTGAAATCTTGCGTAGCGAGGTGTGCTGAGAGACTAGGGCCCGCAGTGGAAGACCAGGTTAAAAGCGAGAGCCAGGTGTCCTCTACGGAAGGAGCTGAACTTGAAGGCATCCCCAGTAACCGGAGGCGTTGCCGTAGAATTGGCGAAAGCAGAGGATAGAGTGATGGTGGAGGCTGTGGAGAGGTGAACGCAATCGGGATGTGGGCGAGAAGGGGAGGAAGAAGCTCCGAGAGCACTGGCGGAGGGATAAAGTTGACCATTACGGCAACTGATTATTGTGATGTCCGAGTGAAGAAGACTTGTGGTCCAGAAGGAGGGAGAGGAGGGAGAAAGATCGCGCGTTTGATGGGGGGGGGTCCGTTTTTAATCAAATATCTGGAGGGCAACCTGATCGGTCTTCAGAAGCATAGAAAATGCGTCGCCTCTGCTCGCCTGCTTTATCAAGGGTGGCCGTGGGCGGAGGGATGAAGGCAAGGTAGTTGAAAGTGGCCCAGCGGGGGAGTCGGGATAATGCTATGGATAATGAAATGCAATACCAGGTTATGGGCTCAGGGCTTTCGCCGCGCTGCGCCGCTGCGACAAGGTCGTAGGGGAGACCGGGTAGGGGATAGGATCGAGCGCCCGTAATTAGGTAGTTTCACAAGTTGAAGAGGACAGATGTACTGCTCGTGGTTCTTGGAAGTCAAATTGATGCAGGTGTGATGCTTTCCGAGGAGGCTTGCAATCTTGCTGAGAGGTGCGAGACTCTGGGTCAAGTGGGAATAATATTGTGGGATGTAGGAGTTAATGAGCGAGAAAAAGAGGACTATTAACTAACTGGGGGTTGGGGGGGCTGTGGACCTTGCGGTGGGGAAGAGTTGTTTTGTGGAGGTGGGAGTCCGGACAGATGGAGGGGGAGGAGGGCAAAGTGAGTTCGGGGAAACGGAACCTCAGTTGTGTCTATTGGCTCCAGCGGAGAGCCAATGTGGGACATGGATTATCTATCTATCTAGGAAATGTTCAGTTGCCTAGCTGCCCAGTGCTCACTATCCCCGTTATCGATAGGGTACGGTAACGGTTGGATGATGGAAGGAAGAGTCAGTAACTTACTCGCTTCAGCAGGTGACTGTGGAATCCCGCATCTGAGCTGCTGGGTTCGATGTTAGAACATTTCGAGATCCGGTGGACAGGGTTAATCAGGCAGGGAAAGGCTGCCGGGCCGGGTCATGTCCCATAAAGCGTCAGACTCGGAGCGCGTTGGACGGCTAGACACAGGTTGAGTGGTCCCGCCGCCTTCCTGCTCTCCTCCCTCCCCAGCCAAAAGGAGAAATACGGAAAAAGGGACACTCCCTCTACGGTATCTTTGCATGATACTGTTTGTCACCAGTAAGCGCCTACCATGCTGCGGACGAGTCCGAGGCTATTGTTGACCCGCTTATACAAGGAAACTACCACCCGATCAACGTATTAGTCTACTATTTGTTGATTCGTTGTTCCACGCCATCCATCCATTAATTTGGCGTTTGAACCATCTCCGGGGCATCACAAGAGCCAGAATTCATGTTTAAAAAGTGAAACTGGAGAGGATATTGCAACTTTAAAAGCGTCTGATCATGCGAGAGAGGGGTTGAAGAAAATCCCCTCTCGTGTCTAGGACAAATGGTCATTGGCTGAAAGACAATTCCGGAACCTAGGCTATGTTTAAAACATGATCCAAAGTTATCGCTCTCCCTTCTTGACACAATAGAAGGTATCATAGCATGAGTGCAGTGCCACACTGCTCCGCATCATATCACCTTCCGCCTACCGTATCAGGGACTATTGATGCCCGGGGCTTCCACCAGCAGGATCGGTCTCAGGGGTGCTTCACCCAGGTGGCGCAGTTAAAGGGCTCCCGACATCCCTAGCCTTCAATGATTGCTAAAAAAGAGATAGTCTACTGTATGCGGGGAAAAGCGAAATAACACAAGTACGGTATTATTCATGTGATGGGCTACGAGGGAAAGATGAAATCCGAAGGCGGGAAGCCGATCTTGAAACCACCCTCGCTGGAATCGTCTGCGGCTTGTGCGATGCCGGTAATAGGATGGTCCCCGTAGCTGGAGTTGTTACGGCTTGTGCTTAGTTGGTGAAGACTGCCGTACCGGTGGACCGCCAATCACTCCATGAACCAGCACATTGATTAGCTAATAATTATGTTTTCTACAGTGCCGAGCGCCGAACTGGCACTGGCAAGCGCGTGCCCCCCCCGTCCGGCACCGGTAACTTGAGGTATTTCAAAGGGCTTACAAGTACAGTACGGGTATTCTGACCACACTAATTCCTTGACCAATCCTTCTGTTATACAAAGTCTTCTTTCTTTATCCCTTGAACCACATATTTTGATATGTAGTTTTGGTCGTGTGTGAGCTTCGATCGTTCTCCGATCGGTCGGAAGCCCTCTGCCCCCCCCACCCCCCCCAAAGAACATCAGCTACGGCACCCGGGCTGGTTGCAACCAACAACATTCGTCGCCCCTCCTATTCTTCAGCCAACCTCCTCCGCTATCCCCATCCTTCGTATTTGTGCTTCGCCTACCGTAGTCTTCCCGTTCTTTTTTTTTTTCTTCTCTCTTTCTCTCAGCTTTGCTACTTTCACAAACAAATCAAGATGACATCTCCATTCTTAGGCGTATATACCGCCGTGTACGCGTATACTCCCCGAGACGATCAGGAGTTGACCTTGGAGGAGGGTGACCTGCTATATATTCTTGAGAAGTCATCTGAGGACGATTGGTGGAAGGCCAAGAAAAAGAGTACGGGAGAGGAGGAGGAGCCTATAGGTCTCGTGCCTGTCACTTACATTGAGGAGGTAAGAACCGTTTACTGCCGCATTCTGTTGTGGAGTTTCCGTGCTTGGCTAGATGGGTTGTTGCTGGGCAAAGTGCCGGAGTAGCACTGTTTTGTGGAGAAAGTATAGCTAAGACTGTCTTGATTGCTTCTTAGGCGAAACCTGTTAGTAAATCCAAAGCACTCTACAGCTATACCCGGCAAACCGATGAAGAGGTGTCCTTCACTGAAGATGCTACCCTTGATGTTTATGATGATGTATCGGATCCGGACTGGGCTCTTGTAGGATACAACGGCGAATTCGGATTTGCACCGACCAATTACATTGAAAAAATTGGAGCTGGTGAGGGTAATCCACCCGCTTCTCCTACTGCTGCTTCGCCGCCTTCACCCGTTCAGACACCAGCTGCTACGAGCAAGCATGTTTCCTTCTCATCACCGCCAAGGGAAGACACACCGCCTCCACCGACTCCTCCGAGGCCGCAATCTCAAGAGTACTCATCGACTCAATCACCGGCCCCTGTAGTGGATCAGAGAACTCCTCAGCGTCCAGTTTCTTCACCAAGGTCTCCTACTTCAGGAATGGCTTCACCCACCGGCTCAGCATCCCAATCATATAGGGACCGAGACCAGGAGCGGAGTCACGAGCGAAGCCATCACCGGCACAATCGGGAGCACGATCGAGGTCGTGAACAAAGGTCAAAGCAAGAGAGGAAGTATGTACACGAATTGTCGGATTCTGAAGACGAGGATGGGCCACGAATTCCCTTCCGGCGGCCAGGCCAACCCCGCCATGGTGTCGAAGGCGGACATAACCATGGGCGTGATTCGCCCCCAATCCCTCCTGGTTTCCAAACCTATCCGGTACAAGAGGTTGACTCCAGGAAGAAACGTGCTGCAACCCTTGGCCTAGGTCATACACGGATCATTCTCCTCCCTGACAAGAGCTCCCGTCCTAAGGAGGAATGGAGTGTCGAAGATCTTAAGGGCTACAACGTGGAGGGAAAGCATGTATTCCTTGAATTAGAAAAGCCAAACCGTTCCCTAGATCTCCATGCAGGATCCAAAGACGCGGCCGAACAGATCATATCCGCCCTGTCTGAGATCCGAGGCGCCGTGAAAGCTGCGGTAATAAGTGAGGTTTTTGCTGCTGCTTCAGGAGGCGGTAAACGGAGTGATATAGGAACTGTGCTTTGTGATTTTGCCGCTCAAGGGGAAGACGAAGTTTCGGTGACCACTGGTGACGAGGTTTTGATCCTGGACGAGTCGAACGATGAATGGTGGTTGGTTCGGAGACAAGTTAATGGGATGGAAGGCGTTGTGCCGGCCAGTTTCATCGAGAGGGGCCGGAGTAAGGTTGTTACCTCGGGCATCATGGCTTCGCCAAGTGACCCGAAGGAGCGAATTAGGATGCAGGAATACGGCGGGGGTCGTGGAGCTAGTGGAATACCTCAGAGGACAAGTAGCTTGGCCGGAAATCATTCAAGGGATGATAGAAGAAGGAGGCCCGATAGCATTGCATCAGATCAAGCCGGTTCCGGGAAACAGAGTATGCCCCAGCCTAATCGTTCTCGTTACAGAGAGGCGGGCCCATGGGCAGCAATCTTGCTGACAGCTACAATCACAGAACCAGATAGTTCGCAAGTCCGACAATGGACTGATCGTACCGGGAACTTTAAGGTCGAGGCTCAATTTATTGGATGCAAGGATGGGAAGATCAATCTTCACAAGCTGAACGGAGTGAAGATTGCGGTTCCAGTGGCCAAGATGTCTCTGGAGGATCTAGAGTATGTAGAGAAACGAACCGGCATCTCACTCGACGAAGACAAGCCTTTGGTGGGGCTCAGGAACCGTCAGAAAGCACCGCCACAGCCCCAAGCTGGCATCAGCATTGCACCATCTAGTGGAAGGGCTAGCTCGCCCGCCGCTAGATCACCCCAATTCCAAACCGGGGCTCCCGCAAGGCCGGCAGACGGCTACGATTGGTTTGATTTCTTCCTCACTTGCGGTGTTGAGGTGAATAATTGTCAACGGTATGCAAATTCGTTTCAACGAGATAATATGGATGAGTCGGTATTGGAAATCATTACCCCAGAGGTAATGAGAACGTTAGGCCTCAAGGAGGGCGACATCTTGCGAGTAATGAAGAAGCTTGATGAGAGGTTTGGAAGGTCTACCAAGAAGAATGGAGTTCGCTGGGAGGATGAGGGAAGCAGCGGGAACCAAGATGGTTCTTTGTTTTCCGGGCCGGGTGGTGCATTGAAGAATAACACACGGAAGGGGCGCCCACCTCCAGCCATCCAAACACCGGACTCTGTGGATCCCAAAGCCTTCGAACAGCAAAGTGAAATAAAGTCACCAGAGGCCCCTGCCCCTGTTTCGAAGTCGCCTCCTGCCCAAGAAGCTCCGAAAGCTGAAGGGTTTGAGGATAGTGCATGGGACGTCAAGCCAACATCGAAGCCTCAATCGCCTCCACCCCAGCAGCCTCCTCGTGTTACCTCGCCTGCTGCACCTGCTACAGTCTCCGCCCCGGACCAACAGCAACAGCCAGCAGCGGTACCTCCACAACAACCAGCTGTCACTGGCGCGCTCGGAGATTTACTGTCATTATCCACTCCCCCTCTCCAGCCCACGATCCAGAGCCCTCCGCCCCCCCAAATCCCTGTTCAGTCTGCACCCCCGCCTACCGCACAACAACTGCCTTTGCCACAAGCCCCTCCACAGCAGCAGCAGGCCTTTGTTCCCCAACAGACTGGAATAGGCTTCCAGAATGCTAATATCCCAAGTCCTCCACCAATGCCTGGACAATTCGGAATGCAGCAGCCAAATGCAATGAATACATTCAACACAATGAATCAATCAACAAACCAGCTCCATCAAGGTAGACAGAGGCCACTTGCACCTGCTATCACAGGTGTCACCGGGGGCAATCTTTCTATCCCGCCGCCTCCTGCAAGGCCGGTCTCTGCCCCACAAAACTTTACAACGTCAAACAGTGCACCAATCCCACTTACCCCCTCGTTCACCGGTACCCAGCAACCCATGGGCTACGGCTCGAGCCAGACCCAGCAGTTCCCATTCCAGTCGTATGTTGGAGGAGTGCCAAGTTCTCTGTCAATGCAACCAACCGGCCACACGTTCTCTACTCTGAGCACCGGTTTCTCAGTGCCAACGATGAGTATGAACGGGCGGCCCCTTAATACCGGAATTCAACAGCCTATGCCACAGCATCCACCTACGCCAGCGTTTCAAGCCCCAATAATTTCGCAGCCAACTGGTGCATTACTGGCCCAGCCGTATGGTATTCCGCAGCAGCAGCAGCAGCAGCAGCAGACTGGCTTCCAATCTTCAATAAATACTCAGCCGACCGGAAGAGGATTTGGTGTCAACTCGGTCTTGCCGCCCGCATTAATTCCTCAACCCACTGGCCTGAAACCCGCGACTGCCCTGATGCCACAAAAGACGGGTCCCCCACCGACTGTGAAGTTTGGGGTAGACGCGAAGAAGTTGACACCACAACCAACCGGAAGGGCAAATTTGAGTAAAGCTAGTACGTAACTCCTGTTTCCCAAGAATGCTGTTCCTCTTATTAACCCCTTTGGACCCTACAGCTCCGGAAAATCCTTTCGGATTTTAATGTTCCGCTCAGACCAACTCGGGCAGCAAATCAGAGGGACTTGGTAGCGGGTGAAGATGCAGTGTTCGGTTTCATTGGGATATTGTTTTTCTTTTTCTTTTCTCCTCCTCTTTTTTCCCTCTTAGCTCCCTGAACCATCCGTTGTTCTTACTGTCATCGGCATAATGTGTGAGTTTGTTTGTGCGTCGTGCAGGGAATAAGATAAGCAGAAGAGCCAGAATGGAGCAACGAGTCAACACTATTTCGCCAAGCAGTCCCCCCCCCTTTTCCTTCTCCGCGCGATATATATATGCCACCCCTGTTCGTTGTCTTGTCATATCGTATAATTATATATATATATTTCTTCCTTCTTCTCTTTCTATCTTGGCATCGTATCTTTATGGACACCCCTTTCCCTGTATTGTACGTTAAATCTAGCGATTGAAAAGCTTTTTTCCCTTTCGTTCCCTGGACATTGGTTGGGTTGTTATTGTATTGTTCTCTTTTTTCTTCCCGGGGTGGAGGCACCTCTTGCCATATCTACGGCGCTGTGTCTTATGGTAGGATCCGGCATGGACGGTAGTGTTGTACATTTCCGACGTTCTCTCTCTGCCACTTAGTCTTCTCATTCCCTTGCGTTATAACATACTTATAATGAAAATAGATGATCACAGCCCTCACCTCCGAGTGACATCTAGTGACGCTCATCGGACCAAGGAACAGCACATCGCAGCCCATTCATCCCATCTAGTCAAAAGGGAAAGAGAAAAGAGGGTAAAGAAGAAGAAAATCCCATTGAATGAGCACTGAACTTCTCGAGCGCCTCGGGCGGAATAGCCCACTACCACTTCGTTAGTCGTCGGATGTCAATAGCCCGGATATCCCGCGACATGAGTGAATCTAGACAGTGCTTGTTACAGTACCTCGGACCAAGACTTGCTACGCTCCCAGGGGCAGGGGGGGGGGGGAAGGAAAGCCTCAGAGGAATCCCTCCACCTCTCGTTGCGCGGAGGGGGAGGGGCAGATCGAGGAAGGGGTTTGTCACTCCCGAGGTTTGACGGGTATGACCGGCTCGAACTTCGTTGCCCCTACACTGCATACCAGTACCACTGCTCGCGTGATCGTGATGGGTATCACAGGGAAAGACTGGATTCCCGGGAATTGCCCGGCGTTTCCGGGGATAGTACAATATAATATAATGGCTTCGGAAAGCCCGCCCGCCGTTGAATTCCTGATTTTCTCCTCCCCTCTCGGAATTGTGGGATACAGGAAGGGGCTTTATACTTATATACGGGCGCAAAGAAGGTATGGCCCCTCTGGTTGGTTTTGCGGTGGGGTTGGTTGGTTGGTTGGGGAGCGGGCAGGCGGGAGGGCTAACGGGGAGTTGGTATCGTGGGTAGGTTAGCATACCGGTATAAGGCTATCATATCATCAGTGATCATGGGTGCGCTCGATGTTCTCAGTAGGAATAGTAGTGTTATCGTTGGGGACGACATCTTGAACGTGGGTATCTAATAGCTCTATACCCTGTCTTTCTCCGGTGTACTGTACAACTGACAGATATCACCATATAGCTCTTCAAATATGCCAAAGCTAACGGATTCGCCGTCCCCGCTATTGTCAGTTCTCCCTCTCATCTCCTCCTCCTCAACCGTCGTCGCCGCCAGGGACGCCCACTCACCGATAATCCTATAAACCTCCCAGGGTGTCGCCGCCTACTTCGCCGGCAAAGGTGTACCCAACGACGACCAAACAGCCGGCATATCCGGTGCGATAGCGGCAGCGCACTACATCCGCGCCATCGCGCCCGCCTACAAGATCCCGGTAATCCTGCACACAGACTACTGCCCAGCGAAGCTCCTCCCCTGGCTGGACTGGATGCTATCCCCTGACGAGGCGCACTTCGCCGAACACGGGGAACCGCTATTCAGTTCGCACATGATCGGCCTGAGCGAGGAGGACAAGGACTTCAACATCGCCACCACGAAGAAGTACTTGTCCCGTGCGGCGCTGATGAAGCAATGGTTAGAAATGGAGATAAGGACTACAGGCGGTGAGGAGGATGGCGTCGATAATACTGGCGTGGATAACAGCGCACTGTACACACAGCCTGAGGATATCTGGGAGGTGTATAGTGCCTTGGTTACCGTCTCCCCGTACTTTTCTATAGCGGCCGGGTTCGGGAATGTGCACGGGGTGTACAAGCCTGGGAAAGTCAGGCCGCATTCAGAGTTACTTAGGAGGCATCAGGAGTTCACAAGGGGAAAATTGGCGGGGGGGGGGAGGAGAAGCCATTGTTTCTGGTCTTCCATGGTGGATCCCGGGAGCACCAAAGCTGAGTTCGAAACCGCTATCGGTCATGGAGTTGCCAAGGTTAATCTAGATACGGATCTTCAGTCTGCCCTCCATGAGGAAACGTAGTAAATGTAGGAAGAGAAGAGAGTGGCGAGCTATTCCACAGCATAGATACGCATACCTAACTGGCATCCGCGACTTTGCTCGTACGTTGCCCCCTCTCTTCCCGCCAGTATTGGATACTGACGGTCCCCAGTCACCAAAAAGGACTACATAATGCGACAAGTCGGCAATCCGGAAGGTGACGACAAGCCAAATAAGAAATACTTCGAGTCAGCTCTCTCCCCTTCCCCCTACCTACTCAACCCATAGGACTAACGTGATATGGTACTCGAGTAGCCCCCGCGTATGGGCCCGTGAAGGTGAAAAGACTATGTCTGCCCGTGTGAGGGAAGCTCTCCGTGACTTCACCACTGCGAACCAGCTCTAAATTGAGGTCGGGGAATGGGAGGGTTAGTAGGAATAGCTACTTTTTCTGCTACTCCCCTCTGCGGACCCTAAGTCAGGGCCTTTTGTGTGCAATATACTCCGTTGTTCGGGATAGCGATAAAAAAGCACGTGAATCAGTTCCTTCAGAATATACGAGAACGGTTACGTATGGGGGCTGGGAGCATTCACGAGTATACTCAACTACTTCTGTACCACTGATACCTGGCACACATGTTTGCACATTATGTTTACTTTCCTTCCCTTTGTGTCTCTCCTTCCTTCCCAACAATTCTCATGAAGATTGATCCGCTTCTTCCCTCACCATCAATTCATATCCCTCCTCTCTCTATCTCTTTCACTTTACTCGGCTCTTAGCGGATAAGGCCAATCCTGTTCTCTCCTTCTCACTGTCCTCCTCCGGTTCCGTAAAACCTTTGTAGCAATCATTGACATCGCCGTTCGATCAACTACAATTTCCAACAGTTTCGGTGGTGTGGGGAGGCAAGTGATAGTTCATGATTGCGATAGTTTTGTTCGGTTGTTTCACAATTCTCGTGACTAGCCCTCGTTGAACGCTCGGATACAGTCCCGCAGCCTATTACAATGCTGTACGGTGCATCAAACTTCACCATTCCGTAGATCCATTTTCCGAACCTGCTAGAATCCTATCACGCCTAGAGCGAGCCAGCAGCATCGTGTCATAGCCCTCTATCATAACGTACAGTAACCTAACCCCCTCTCCATTCTATCATACAACCCCCCCTCCCTCTCTCACCAATCCTTTACTTCGCAGCTGACTTCTTCCCCGCCTTCTCCACCTCCGGAAACTTGACCCCCTCCGTGAGCCCCACAACCCCCCACGTCAGCCTGCCCACATGCGGCTGCACATTCCAATGAAACGAGAGAGTAACGTCATCGCGGCCAGCGAACTTCCCGGTGATATCATTGATGCTGTACTTTGCCCGCTCATTCTTCAAGATCAGTTTTGAAGCGGAGCGGGATGGGAGGATGGTGTCCCAGATTACGACTTCGTTATCGGTCTAGACCAGTCAAAAGGAGAGCACCGACGGAGAGGAAGGGAGTGAACAAACGTATTTGGACCCCGGATACGTCGCAGACACATATGCGAACACTTGCTTTGTATTCCAGTTGAAGAGGGAGGAGAGATCTGGCCGTTATCACCACAATCAGTTCACTACCCCGAAAGTGGGGCGGGGGGGCAGATAGGTGAACTAACCAGCCTCCAAATCGAAATTCAAAACCGCATACTCCTGTACTTTCGTCGCGTAGTATTGATGCGCCCTTCCTTTAGCACTGTATCCTCCGAGTCCACCCCATCAGCACCCAATATCACCAACCACCAACACAAAGTCCCGCCGCCCTAGAGAAGGAAATGAATGAAGAAATACAGTACATCTTGACGCTGTTCGCCCTAATGACATCCACGCTCACATTCGCAGGGTACAGCAGCGAGGTCAGGGAAACCAGACCCGCGACGAAGAAGGCCACAGTGGTGAAAAAGCCAAAGACGTTCTGAGCTCGGACCAGTGTGGAATGCATTTTTTCTTCTTTCGTCCTTTTTTCCCCACCCTTATATGCTTCGTTCGTTCCGGTTTCGGTGATGGATTCGTCGTACTGGAGGCAGGAGACTGTGAGCGGTGATGGTAGTGGCAGTTGGTGGTTTGATAACTTTGAACGACTTGGGTTTGACTTTGCTCTACTGGATCGGTTGAGGCCAGAACGCGGGTTTGGGGAAACCTAACCCTGACAGGGTTGCGGGAGCCCCTGTGTTACCGTAGCTTCGCCATTGATGGCACTTGTGCCGTAAATCTATCATACCGGTACGAGTACTGCCAGCGATTGAGGCGGGAATTGGAATCTTCGATGCAGCTTATGCACGACGTTCATGGGCTTTGACTTTATGGCCGACTTGGGGGTAAAATAAACTGGATATAAGGTGTCTACCGTATTCTTCACCGACCCCATCATTGCCATCACCACTAGACTGCCACGACCACCATTAATCTACGATACAGTACCAGACAGTGTTATACAGTACTCGATCACCCTGCAAAACGGCCAAAAGAAATGTGGAGGGGATCTCCTGAGCACCAAGGGTTGCCCGGCCAACCAGCTCTGAGCGGGAACTGCCGGCATATACCCTGCCGCTATGATACTACACTTGTACTGAGTATAGTACGGTACAGTACTCCATTCTCGCCATCGGTATGATACGATAGAGCATTTGAGGCCTCACGCAGTTTTTAGATCGTACGACACATACTGTAGTCTGTGGGGAGTTCACTCGCACCGAATCCTAGACTATTACACCACTCCGCACCAGGATAATTGCACTTTCGCACGAAGGGGCGGGGTAGGGGAAAGGAGGCTGTAGCCGCTCTTCTTTGCACAGTCCACCCCACTTGTTTACACGTTTCAATTTTGCCCTTATCCTCTCATACAGTACCATACCGGAGAGAGAGTACATAAAGCACCTTCATCCACTCAGCCGCGTCCCCCCTCCCACTTCCATCCTCCTCCCAAGCGATTGAGTGCCCAGAATGTCCATCTCCCCACGCAAGAACCGCATCGTAGTTTTCAGCGGCGGCAGCGCGGCAAACAACCTTATAGACGTCTTCAAGAACCTTTGCGGAAACTCCCGCTCCCTGGACTTTATCCTGCCTATATCCGATAATGGCGGCAGCACGTCCGAGATATTGCGTGTGTGCGGGGGGCCGGGAATTGGCGATGTTCGGAGTTAGTTTCCTCCGACCCAGACCTTCCTTCCCCCCCCTTCTCGCATCCGGGCTAACCTGGGAAGTGTGGCGGAGTTGATTAGGTCGTCTGGTAAGACTCGCTCCGGAAGGTATGGATGGGGAACGCAGCGCTATCCGGAATCTCCTGAACTACAGGCTACCCGCCGATCCTGGTACGGCGCGATTGGAATGGTACGGGATCGTGGAGGGAACGCATGTCCTTTGGAAGGGGGTGAGCCATTTCCCCCTGTACTTGTGCCATACCCCTCCCCACTTCCTCGCCACCTAACACCCCCAGATCCCCTCCGAAAAGCGCGAGCTCCTCCGCTCCTTCTTCAACCACCTAAACCTCGAACTCTTAAAGCGCCAACGCCCAACAACCCACTTCAACTTCCACAGCGCCTCAACGGGGAACCTGTTCCTGACCGGCGCCCGCTTCTTCACGGGTTCCTTCGAGTCGGCTATATACCTCTTCCACTCGATAACCGGCGTCCCATCAAACATCTGTGTGATCCCGGCAATTAATTCCAACCACGCGCACCACATAGCAGCAGGTCTCGCAGATGGGTCCGTTATTATCGGGCAGAACGAGATCTCGCACCCGAGCGCTTCGTCTGCTTCGCTGCTTTCGCCACAGGATACTCCCGCAGGGTCGGACGCGGGTGGCAGTGGCGCTGACGGCGAGGAGGAAGGGGAAGGGGGGGACAATTTGCCCGGATCGTTGGCATCGCTGAGAAGTCAGAATATTGTGTTTTCAAAGGGGCACGAGGATAATGAGGAGTTGTCGGATAGGATTGAGAGGATTTGGTATATAAATTTATACGGGGAGGAGATAAGGCCTCCGGCGAACCCAAAGGTTATCAGTTCCTTGGGGTCGGCCGGGGCGGTAATTTACAGCATTGGGAGTTTGTACACAAGTCTTATGCCTTGCCTTGTCCTCCGGAATATTGGCAAGGCATTAGCAGAGAGTGGGAGGGACACGCCCAAAATATTGCTGCTGAATGGGTCGCATGATCGGGAGACAGGACCAGATCATGATGAGTTTACGGCTACGGATTTCGTGAGGGCTATTGTACGGGGGTGCACCTCCTCTATGGGGGAGAAGGAAGGTCGGGAGGTCGGGTGGAACAGGTTCGTTACGCATCTCATCTACCTGGAGGGAAACGGGGCTCCTGTCGTGGATACAGTCGAGTTGAAAAGGACGGGGATCGAGTGTATGAGGGTTTATGGGAGGAAAAATCCCGATGGGGAGGGGAGGGGGATGCTGTATGATCCTACGGCTCTCGCTCAGACCCTTGAGACCATTCTAGCTGCGAGAACCAAGAGGACCGACGCCAGGAGGATGACCGCGGACGCATATGGGAGGTCGCTGTGATTTTCACTGCCGGGTTAGACATTAGATTTACAGAGTATGCTAAATACATCCCTAATAATAGAATGGGCCTTGGGCATCACGCAACCCGAAATCACCGGTCGTATATCTCTCGCAGTACAACCTCCTTTGGAGAAAGTGATCAAACATCCGGTCGAAGGTGCCGATGCCCTTGACCCAAGCTTCTATGCCATAAAGTTCCACAGACGTAACACCGTAACCCAACCGTATTTTGCACCACCTATAGCAGAAAAAAAGGGACCCAATTTTTTATTTTGATGTTGCTTCGCTTAGTCGAAGAGGCCGAAACCCATGTCCTCCTCGGACTCCTATGAAATTCATTAGCAAATTTCCCCTCAAGTGCCACCTGAAGTTGGGAGAGGGGCTGTGAACCTCCTTCTCCTCCTCCTTCTCTTCCTCCTTAGTCTCGGCAGCGGGACCACCGGAAGCAGCTGCGCCACCAGAGGCACCACCACCGCCGGAGCCACCAGTTGGAACAGAGGCGAGCTTGGTAGTGCCCTCGGTGATCAACTGGATTTTGGAAGAAAAAAGTCAGCCACAATTTCAGAAAAAATGGGCAATAATTTCATGTGTGACGGACCTCGTTGATGTCTTTTCCCTCAAGCTCCTTAAGAAGGGTGGAGAGACGCTCCTCATCAGCGTCAATACCAGCAGCACCCAGAACAACCTTAATATCTTCGGCGGAAGGGCAAGTATTTCCAGAAAGGCCGAGAAGGAGGTAGGCTGCGAGGTGCTTCATTTCGGCTTATGTACTGAGGGATAAAGTCGTGTATAAGATTGTTTGCTCTGAAGTGAAATTTTTATGGATCCAGGGTGCACTCACAAGGGGGATCTGCTGAACAGGAGAGACAATCAAATTTAACCGCGTTGGACCGGAGAAAGCTCTTCGTTGTTCGAATGGAAAGTTGTTGATGGTTGATGGTTGTGGGGGGGACGTTTCTTGGCTCAATTTTCTTAGTGGGGGGAATTGTGTGAGTGGCTAATACAATGTGACTTGTGTTGCGGGGAGAATAAGGGCAAAGCAAAGTCGAACACAGCCACAGGGTAAAGCAAATCCAACCCTTAGCCCTAAAAACGGAACAAACATCAGTTTACGTGGCTTTGCTGCCACGAAATGTGGCTTTTCGATGGTACCCTTGGCAAGGAAAGCCTGCGGGCCTCCGTCTCCAGTGGTTATTTTTTACTATCGACAGACCAAAGGATCGAACACTCTTTTCCTGTTCTTTTGCGACTCTAATCTCGCTCCGCTCCCTTTCTTTCTTTCTTTCCTTCTATATTTCCGCTGTCGAGTGCCATTTCGACCGGTTCACGTTTATCTTCCTTTTCCACGGTGTCCATCAAGTCTTTGTCGTGCCCATTCTCTCAAACTCTACCCTTACCCGTCGGTTTTGTCGTTGCCTTCGCCTTTTCTTCTTCCCAAACCACTCTCTCCCTCTCTCTCTCCCTTCTACCTTCTTCCCTTCGATCAAACTCCGCCCCCACTTCTTCACATACTCGCTCCCTTTCTCTAGACATACTTTCCTAGTTCGGTGTCGGGTTTCGCGATTTGAAAACTTACCCTTACTCCACACCCAAATCACACCTTTCTCTCCAACAACTCCCTCTCCGTAACCTTACCCTCACCATCTGCTGTCAACGTTCGTTGTCGTCAGCCATACAGAAGCCCTGTTCCCCGGCGTTTTTTTTTTTGTCAACCTTCAACCGTCATCTCCCCCCATTAATAACCATATAGTGCCCTTCCGCGCTAAATATTCCAGTCTCCCACCACCTTGTTGCCATCCCGATAACACACCTCTCCCGTCTGCTCACGACCACGGCCACCACTGCCACACCCCAACCGACGAGCGATATCCGGCGAACGACCACTGCGGTCGATATAAAGCAGTACCCCTTCAAAATGGTGTTCAACGACTCTAACCCTTCGGTATTTTTCACCAATATTTTTCTCTTCCTTCTGTCACTTCTTACTAGATCTGCTGCTGAATTTCTGTTTCCTCGTGGTATAATACAGTTCAGCATCGCCAGCATTCTAAGTCGCTACGACTCCTCTGCCACCGCCACCACGCCATCCACAATCTCAAAACCACTCCCTCCAAAGAAACCGGCTAATGTTGCGAAGCCAAGTATGTTTCTGTTCCCCCCCGTTACTTCTATTTCCTCGCTTGTCGAATATGGTTTCACGGTTTCGGCTCCAATCCTTTGCTTGTGCTATTTTAAGCCAATCTATTGGCTCTTTTACTGACACCTCATGTGCGCCCTTGATAGATGGTACTGGCTCCGGACCAATCACCTCCACCACCGCACCACCACCCCGATCCTCCCTATCATCTGCATCCAAGTCCACCGCATCGCAAGCGTCTCGAGACAGCACAACAAGAGTGGTAACTTCATCCAAGCCGGACATCAACTCCACCAAAAGGCGCAAAACCGAGGAAGTCCCAAAGAGCTCATTGGCGTTATTGAAGGAAAGGAAGGAGTTACTCCAGCGTAAAAGCGGAGGGGTGGCCACCAGCACCTCAATTGCTATGTCCAGCTCCAGCAGCAAAGCTGGCCCTCTAAGATTGTCAACTGGCACTGCCACTGCTAGGCCAGGTTCTGGAACCAAGACAACAGAGGCCGCTAAACCCGCAGCCGAAGCTCCGAAACCGATGTCCTATCGTGAGAGGATGGCAGCTGCCTTGCAGGCTGGAGCGGAAAAAAAGCCGGCTGCGGGAACTATCACCCATAAAGCCCGGCCTTTGGTGAAGGAAAAGAAGGCCTGGCAGTTGAAATTGGAAGGGCAGGGAGAAGGGAAAGGAGCGGATACTACGGCCGGCAGGAGTAGTAAAAGCCCGGGAGTTTCTGGAGGGGAAAAGGCGGCTCCCACTTCAAAAAAGATGGCCGATGTAAGCAAACCAGCGATGAAAAAATCATCTAACGGAACAAATGGCTCCGCCAATGGGGTCGGCAGCGCAAACGGTGCAAACGGGCGAAAATCTTCTGTCGGGAATGGGACCATGTCTTCTTTAAAGGGCAAAGACAAGGACAGGGGTAAACCCCTAGAAGCTGGTACAAAGAGGAAGCGTGAAAGTCCCCCGCCAAAATCCGGATACTCTAGCTACTCGAGAAATAAATATTCCACCAACCACAAGCGATACAGGGGCCCTCGGCCGGACTCGTATGAAGAAGATGATCCCGACGATGATTTCGTGGTTAATGATGAGGATGATGAAGATGATGCATATGGTAGGGGTGCTGGCTATGGTGGCTTTACAAAGAAGAAGTATGTCGGGTTTAACTTTCGTGCAGCACTATCATTTCCAATTCAGACCACCAACAAGCTAACCAATTTATAGATATTCATACGTTGAGTACGATTCAGCTAGTGATATGGAAGCTACCGGAGCAGATGTGTTGGCAGAGGAAGAGCGCAGTCGTCGTGCTGCAGCCAAAGAGGACGCTGCGCAAGAGAAATTGGAAAGAGAGTTGGCTGCCAAAAAAAGCGGCCCTCAAAAAGAAGGGTGTCCTCGCCAAGAAGAAGTAGTTGCGATTGTAAGGGTTTCCTGACACTACGAACATTCCCCGTATCACTATCACCTTCACTTCCGTTTCTTGTAATATTCTTAGGCCCCAATTAGGGTTCATTCGGTACACCTCCTGTTGGGCGATCCTTTCATATCTAATCCCTTGCTAAAAACAGTTCAATGTGGGGTTTTTTTTTACTGATGCTTTTTTATCATCTCTGGTGTTTGGAGAGGTCGCTTTTTCTCATTCTCTTTTTCTTTTCTCCTTCCTTTTTCCCCTCCTTTCTCTAGAAAGGAGCCTTTGTAACAGGCAAATTTTCCTTTGTTGGCTCCTTGTCACTACATACCACCTACCCGCCACCCCCGTTCTGCACTCAAACCAGGGCTTTTTGTTTTGAGCTGTAACACTTTTTCCTCCCTCTTTACATTCTGTTGTATCAAATTTCTTCGGGCTTCTCTCTTGGTACGGTCATCTTGCGCCGGCGTTGTTCACGGACTTCTCTCCTATTGTCATTATCCCACCTATTTTTCAATTGCGGAGAACCGCTGCCTAACTCTTCATCCTTCCCTTTTGTCTTTGGACGTTCTTTTGTTTGCTAGTCGGAGTATGGTTGCAACCTAGAGGAGTTGACACTGAAGGCGAAATGGTATGATATCCGTTTTCCCACATCCTTGAACAATATCTGGGGGTGCTTGGGTGCCTGGATGGGTGGGTGGGTGGAATTGTGTGTAGCCTTGATCTCTTTGAGTCAATGTGTGCACATATGTATGTATGTATATATAGCTGGACGCGTCGCAATCCAAACGAGATGACCACAGATGTACGGATGTTCAGTACGTCGTGCACCAAAGACCTGTAGTATAACCCGCCCTAGACCTCTGGTAACTATCACACCCTGTCAAATACAGTATGTACGAGTACAGAACGGGAATTCTAGCGGCCAAGGAATTGAGGGCAACTCACCAAACGCCATGATGTGGTGCAGTGCCTCTGTCAGCACTTATCGTACTGAAGACATGGAAAATCTCCCAATAGCCCGGACTCTGATGCCAATAGCGAGTGACCTTGTGTGATTACTAGCAAGGTCGACCCGAGAGAGCCATTCCATGCGTGATATTACAGCAAGTTAACTGTCCGAAGCCATTGTGTAAAATTGCAACGGATAAGATGCAAGGCGGGAGAATTCCTCTCGTTCCTGTGAAACCTGGGATTCAGAACTCTGCCGGCATCCTGACCTTTTCTCGCGAATTTTTTTCTCTGTGCTTCAGAGAACCACGAGCATCGTGCGGTGTGAGAAATGTACCGTAAGACAGAATTTCATCATCAACTATAAGAGAAGGTTGTTGATGGTTCACGGGCATTTCTTTTCCCCTGGGCCCCAACCGATTGCACAGTACTGCATGAGCCTTAGTACAATTCATGATATACAGTATATAGGTTACAGCAATTCTCGTTGAATGGTTTCTTGGCACTGGTATAATACGCCACAACAACGCCTGAACGAAATACCCCCCGTCGCTCACTCCAACCTATAAGTCAATACCCACCACTCCCCTCTAGTTGAAGGGGAGAAAAGCAAAAGGGAGTCTTCAGCTTTCCTTCCTGTCATTGTTTCCTTTCAGCTTTCTATACGCTATCACTCTCGGCTTGTCGTTTCGGGGTTGGGGCAAAGGGGCTCGTTATTTGAAGGATACCGTAGGGAGCTAATCTGCCATCGCACACATTTTTTTTTCTTCCACTCTCTCTCTTGTCACCTGTCACTACCCAGATCTAACCACCACCACCACCCGGCTCTCACACAACTACCCTCGTAGCCTTCCTCTCGTTTCAACCGACTCTTCACAAACACACATCAACACACACACACCCTCCCCTTCTCCCGTTAGGTGAACACCAGGAGGGAACAAAAAAAAAAGGACAAAAGAGGGAGGGAGGTGATAATAAAAATAAGAAATAGAGCTTTCGGGATCCCCAGAGTTATTACAGCAATGGCAGCCGCGCAAGGTCTTAGCTCCGTCGAGGACCAACTTCAACAACTGGGAAACGCGCGCGCCCTTGTTCTAACCGATCCGGTCTACTGGCCACAGGTACTACACGGTATCCTTCCAATCGTATCCGGACCGGTTGTCGAGCTGAGGCGTTGGGGTGCGGACTTTCTCGCTGAGACCTTTTCCACTCCTGTGGTGGAGGCTGGGGAGAAGTTGAATCTTGCGGTTGCTTGCCTGGATACAATGGTTAGGTTGATGGATGAGAGAGAGGCTGGAATTCTTAAGAGCGTCGTCCAGTGTAGTGCTTCCGTATACCCGCTCATATTCAGACATATGTACGTGCATACCGCCCAGCTATCTTCAACCGGAGGCTTTTACCTATGCCTCCCATTACATTACATCCCCCCCTTTCCCCTTCTGAAATCCCCTCCTCCATGTGGGAAAAGGGAAGGAAAAAGAGATATACCAAGTGCTATTATAGAGAGGAACCCTCTTCGGTCATGTTGCCCCTATACATCTCCTCCCCCTCTGCTCGTTTCTTCCTTGATATCAACTGTTTCGTTTGTTTGTGGAGACTCCTATATACTGAGATATTTGCCCCTTTCTTTTCTCTTTCTACGATCACAGATGCAATAATCGAGAAGATGCAGCCACATGGAAGAAAATGGATGTATTGAAGTCGAAGATCCTGAATCTCTGGGATACCGGTCCGACGGGGGTACGCCTTTGCTGTGTCAAGTTCGTACAGAGGGTAATCTTAGTCCAATCTAGAGGAGTTACGGATCCCAGAGTGAGTTGAAGTTGCCCCCATCCTATCGCTCCCTCACTCACCAACTAATGCTCGACGCTCCAATATAGCTTGCAGATAGGTCGGAAATATCTCTTAGCATGGTTCCAACTAATCATCCCATTCTGTCACTTCCCGCGCTAGACGCGGAGGCTCAAGGGCTACTTGACAGGCTACTAAGTGTGCTTCACGAAGATCCTAGGCAAGGAAACACCGTCACCACCACCACCAATGATGGAGAATCAAGTAGAATAACAGGTATATTGATAATTAATAGTGATGCTACCCTTACCACGGCCACTCTGAACAATCTTGCGCAACTGATCAAGACACGGATACCTATTGCTGCGAAGATAATGAACGCAGTATTCTCATTTAATCCCTTGGCAATAGTGTCGAGGTCTAACACCATACAAAACCGTCTCATGATGCAATGTATGGAAAAGACTGTCCGTGTGTTGTTGCTCAATATAGTTCGGTATGCCAAACCTGCCCAAAATTTTTACTGTATTATTCGACCGCTTCTGCCAGAGCTGTGATCGTGGCAGGGCGTGGCCAATGTCTGATACCCGACCCAGCGCGCATGCTGACCTGGCCGTTCAATCTAGTGCCAGCCCGCAAGGGCCGTTCACGGCCAAAATCTCGCAGCACTTGACCAGACTTTCGCGAATGAAGGCGGATCTTCTGGAGGAGCTATCGCGCAAGAGAGCAGCTCCAACACCGGACAACGACGCAGTCAAGAGGTTGAAGACCGACCAGCAACAGCAACATGCCGCGGTCACCCCTACTCCGACTCCCCCGCCGGTTCCCCCGCACCAGCAGATCACCAACGGTCTCATGTCGTACGCGCAATTGTATAGCCTTTCTACCGATGTCGCCATGACTTCATTTGACGGGCAGCAATTGCCGCTGGAATTGATCCTTGAAATTATCAATAGGAGCATGTATAATGTTCAGCAGCACAGCCTCGATGCCGCGATCTCTGTAGGCTGCACAATTGACATGCATTCACTGTGATCACTGGTTAACGCGGTTTAGGCTGTGAGAAATCGCTACGCTGCCCTTTTGAGCGCACCTCTGTCCGTTCCGCCACAGGCGCTTGCACCATCTTCTTCCCAGTCTTCGGGCTATGCCCCACCACCAGCGACTACTGACGAGCCTCCCGTAGGACCCTTTCCAGATGCTGTCGAGAATAGAATTGGCAAACAGGAGAAGGAGGACAAGGCCGAATCGGGTGATGAAGAGGACGAAGAGAGCGAGCTCCGGTTGGGGAAATTCTGTCTCCCGCCTCCACCAAGTCTCACTCGCGAGGACTTGCGCGAATCAAGTTTTGATGCAGTAAACAGGATCTTTTCTGTAATTGACCAGTTCGATAAAACCTCACTGGTGTCCAGGAAGAGTAAGCTCGGCGTGATGCGTCTGGCAGCGAGTAATTGGGATAGAGAGGGCTGGACCACCCTCATCACACGTCTGGCGACCAGGGGGATGGGAGGGATTCAAGGTGAAGACATTAAACCAGAAGTCCCGGACGACTACAATGGTGAGATTGATGATGAAAACTATGACGAGGAGGAGGGGGAAGGAAGCGGTAAATTGCAAAAACCCTCGGCACTGAGCAATTTCATCAGGGATAAACTTTACCTCTTCATCATCGAGGATTTCAGAGGCAGAATGGACATTGCGATCTCCTGGCTCAACGAGGAATGGTACAACGACAGAATCATGGCGAAGGCCCAACCGAACCGGCAGCCCCAATACAGGATCTGGATGATGAAGGTGATGGACGGGATATTTCCGTTCCTGGAGGGGAAAGACAGGATGTTTATGAGGCTGCTTTCAGAGATTCCCGAGATCACAGTGGAGTTGTTACAGAAGGTTAAGATGCTCTGCTTGGACCCCGATAGAGCGGTTTTAGGGATCCAGATGTTACAGTAGGCCCTCCATGCATCCCCCAGGTAGATATTTCCGATCAATTGCTCACCCATGCGGCAGCTTTCTCGCCATGCTGAGACCCCCGGTCAGACACATGTGCATGGATGTCCTGGAGGATCTGTGGCTGAATCGTGCGCCTCCCGTCCACTCCGTGCCACCATTCTGACGCCTGCCGCTAACCTTATCCTCGGGTATATCTAGATGCCGAGCTTCGTGGACAAACTCATAAACTCATTTTAAAGTGGAGACCGGAAGTGCTCGCCCCCAAACTCATCGCTCCTCCCGACGAGGATAGTGAGGCCCCCGAAACCCAGGTTGCGGTGAACGCTCCCAGTGGGAGTGTCAACGGGAACTCGGTGGTAGCGACAGCAACAACAGCAACAGCATCATCATCGTCGTCGGATAACACCAATAATGCGCCTCGGGCTACTTGAACGTATTATTTAATTCTGAGATGGGAGAAGGGGGGTTCGTTTCTACCCTTTACAATGCTTCAAGTCTATGTGTTTCTCCCCCCCCCATTTTTTTTCAATTTTTTCCTCACCAAACACACATTACGATACCGTACCTTTTATGTCTCATCTGCCTTTTCTCTTTCTATTCCTTTCCTTCTTTTACACCTCCTACATCCTTATATTCGTTGTAGAAGTCTAGGGGTTTTTTCCTTTCTTTTTTCCCTTTTTTTCCAAAAAAAATGGCATGGTATGGAGTTTTTTCTCTCTCTTTTCATTGTCTTCCCCCTCTCCTCCCATCACTACTACTTTTTTTTTTTTTTTTTTGGCGACAGGAGACGGTATTCTCTTATTTCTTTTGAAATGTATCCTACCTCACTGGAGCGGAAATGGAGGAAATTACCCTTTTTGCGATTAAATACCGCAGCTGGACCAACCAAAAGTGCAAGCATATATTGTACCTCTTAGATTATGAGGTATGAGATGAACGGAATCGAGCTGCACACAATAATCAACAACAAAGTGCTTGTACAGTGCTCCTATCGTGCAAGTATGCACAATAACCCACGGAAGATCAACACTATTATTAGCCATTCGAGTCGAGTCAAGCCCTACCGTGCCGTGATATGTGGTACCGTGCTTGCTCGGGTTTCGTAAGCCTTCCCAGGGGTGGATGAGGCACTGAGAGAGCGTGAAGGACACTCTCTCACTTTGCTGCTATATATGGGCGGATGGTGTCGTAGGTAGGTATGGCGGGCACAATAGGTACAGCATAACTAGCCAGTGCAGTATGGGCTTTTGTGGAGAGGGGGAAGGAGGGGGGTAACCTGCGATCCCGGCACTCCACTTCACGATATACCGTAGTATTCATACCGGTACTGTGCTCGTACTCCTGCTTCACCATGTAGCGCTCCCGTCTGGGGGGGACCCCTGCATACAGTAACTTGTAGATGAGATACGGCAGCCAACAGTAGCTGCCGTATTATACTATAATAGTACACCAGCTGCGATGCTGTCGGACAGCAAGCAAGCAAGCACATGGAAGATGGATCCTGGGATCATGGGGGAATGGATGGGGAGAGAGGGAGAGGGAGAGAGAGATTGTGTGTGCGTGTGTATGCATTACGCGCAGAGTATAGCATCATGCAGACGGGCATAAAAGTATCGTATAGTCTGCATTGAATTTTCCTTCTTCTCCTTCTATCCCCCTTCTCCCCCCCACCCTCTTCCCTTCTTTTCCATCGGTAGACACCTTGGCTTCTTATGATTTACCTTGCATACGCTCTCTTCTTCCCCTGCAGTACTTCTCTCTTTCTCTCTCTCTCCAACAAAACCTAGCCTACCGGTACCCGCCTACCTGGCCACGACCGGCTTCCGTTCTTTTATTCCCCCGTCACTATTTCAACGGGTAACCCTTTTTTTTTTCCAAGTTTTTCTTTTTTTAAAAAAAATAAAATATATTCCACTCATTCTTGCTGTAATTATCATTACCGAAATTGTTATGACGAAGCAGTTCCGGGAATTGCAGTGTTTGCAAGTTCTTCTCAGGGACGATATTGGTGAGTTGGTGAATTTTTTCATCTTTTGGTGATTTTGTGTATGTTTTTATTTTTATTTTTTTTACCCTCTCCTTTTGTTTCCCATTCGCCGTGCATACGATGCGATACATAGTCTATCGTTCCGGTACCGTGCAGAACATACATACCCGTACAGTATGGTTACTGGTGGAAACCGTTGCTATTATCATTCAGTCAGTTTTCCCGTCCCCCCGTAACTATCTCCCCCTCCCTCCCTGCTCCGCTCTGCTCCAGTTCACGCCAATCCAATTGAAGCACGGGAACTCCTAAACAAATAAACTTGGGGTACAAAGCGAGTGAGGAAGCGACTTTGAGCACAACTGCCTGGTTATTCCTATTCATTTTCCTTGGGGGGCTTTCCCATTCTTACATACCCTTCCTTTCCCCTGTTCTTTCTCATCCTTTTGCCCCGCACTACTACGTTTTCAAGGGACTAGATCTCGTTACTTATTCCCGTTGTTGTTGTTGTTGCGAAACCATTGTTGTTATCCGTACTCGTACAAAGAAAAAGTAAAAAGAAAGAGAGCCTAACGGGAGAGGACGTCGTCGTGTCATTACCTTTTTCCCTCAATCCAGACGAGCGAACCGAAGAGATACAGCAGCTTGAACAGATTACCGTCGGCATGAACGGGAACTCATACCCCCCCGAACCCGAATTCCCGGACGCACCCTCGCGCGAAGACTCGGCATCACTCGTACCGAACGGAGACAGCAATTACGATGCGCCGGGGTCTGGCGGTGCCAATCTCTCACGGATCACGACGGGCAAGAGCGGGAGGGTTATAGAACGGCTCATGAGCGATGTCGACAGGTTTTTAGCACCGCCTCTACGCCAGTCATCAAACCCGAGTGCGGGTCATGGGAGCGGAGGGTAAAGCAGGAACTAATGGAATCTACGTAGGTTAAAACGGGAACTTAGAGTCGAAACCACGGCCCGCGAAGAAGAACGAAAAGCCAAGGAAGCGATAAAGTCCTCCCGGGACTCGCTGCAGAGCACGAACAATAACTTGATACACCAGACCAACGTTGACAAAGCCTCCCTCGCCCGGAAGGACCGAAAAATTGAAGAGCTGAAGGCTGAACGGGAAACCGAGCGAGCGAGAAGACTGGAGTCGGACACGAGCTTGAGCGAGCACATTCGACAGAGCAACGAGCAATTACAAGAGCTAAAAACCCAGCTCAGCCACGAAGTCGCCGAGCGAAAACGCGCCTCAAACCAGTACGAAGTGCTGCTCCAGAGCTGGAAACACCTCGATGAGGGCTATGCGGGGCGGGTGGATAAGCTCCGAGAGGAACTAGAAGGGCTGCACAGTGGCCGGCTGAAGGACAGGGAGCTGCTCAGGAGGCTGGAGGTCACGATTGAACAGCAGCAGCAGGAATTGGAAAAGTTGAGATCCGCCAAGAATAGGATCTCGGATAAGTACCTCAAGGTCATACACGAGGCCGAGGGCGAGATTGAGGACATCAGGACTCTCGCAAAGGTCGCTGAGAAGGAGACCACCGAGACACTCACCGAGGCGAAGGATACGCTGGGTCAGTTACGGCACGTGCTTAATGTACAGAGGGACTTGAGGAAAAGATAGGTAAGGAGGAGAACCCGTGCTGGAATTGGAATTGGAAATGGAACGGAACGAATTTGTCGATTTGGCGCAGGCAATGGGTTAGGAGTTTTTCTTTTTTTCTTTTTTCTTTTCTTTCTCTTTCTCTTTTTCTTCCCATCTTTTACAAGATTGAACAAGAGGCTTCGTCAATATTCTCACCGTGGATATCTCTTGATCTTGCCCTGCATCTTTACACGCTTCCTCAATTCTCTCCTTATCTCCATGTGCTGTTGACTACTCCCACCACTTTTTTCTTCAGTTCTTGACACCATCGCATCGCATCTCATCGCATCGCATCGACTGCTTCTATCATGCATATATACATACACATCGCAGCCATGACATGACATGAGCATACGATAGAAACGTTCACAATCCTCACAAATTTCTCTCCCGGAGCCTTCTTCCTAGACGCAGGTGAAAGGAGAGGAAAGAAAAAAAAAAAAAAAAGAATGGTTCTCTCACTTTTGTTTTTTTTTGCCCCCATTTCCTCTATTCTCTTAATACTAGCATAGCTCGCTCGGGTTACCCCCCCTCTCCCCCATGGGCGTTGATAACGGTATGGTTATGGTTACGGTAAATGGTTACTCGATTTGGTTTTATTCTCCTATTATATGGATTTCTTTTTTTCCTTCTTTTTCCTAATGTTCTCGATTTGCAAACGGAGTTTTTCTTTTTTTCCATTTCAAAATTTAATTTAGTGTTCGATGTGATTGTTGACAATTTGGATTAAAGAGTGATTGAGAAAAGAGCCCTCAACTTTCTGTAGAGACTTGTCACGTTTTTTGATCTTTCTTTGCATCATGGTCAAAGTGAGCGATCCCCTGGGATCCCCATAGCAGCAAACATCACACGACAGCCGGAACAGCCCCAAAACTAACCACCCCACAGCCCCTATCATACTCCACACTCTCCCTCCCTTCCTCCCCTCACAGAATCACGACATCTCACTCGCATCTTGATCCCGTCACCACCTCACTCACTCGATTTCACTTCTCCTGAGCCTCCCCGGGAACCGCCACATCCTCAAACTCATCCTGCGCGACCGCCCTAATCGTATACACATCTACAACCCCGCTCAATCCCCCCCCCCCCCAACCCAATACACACATTAGCCCACTACAGTACAACTTTTACCACTCACCACCACACGACAAGACAAGACGACTCACAAATTGAAGCGGTAATGCCGAAAATGGCGACGCCCGTGACCAGATTCTTCACGAGGAAGGGCTTTCGAGCGCGGATCAGGGAGGCTCCTTGACGTTGGTCTGGTTGGTAGTATGTTGAACGGGGGAGGCTGGTTTTCGTTTGTTTGTTAGTTCGGGCGAAGGAGGGAAGGGAGGGGGGGAAGGAGGTACACGAGGTGTTTGAGGGTTGGGCGCATTTTGGTGTGATGTTTTGGGTTGTGAGGTTTTGGTGGTGGTGGTGGTGGTGGTGGTGGATGGGATGGGTAGACTGCCGTACGGGATGTAGGAGATTTGGGATGATATTTTGGTGGTTTGGGTTGTTGGTGGGGTGATTGGTGGGATTTTGCCAAGAGTGTTTTTGGGGTGATTTATGTTCTGTTGTACGGTACTCGCGCGTTGCCTTTTTGTTGATCATGGTAGCGATAGGTATCATAATTGATTGCTTGTGTGAGCACTTTTACCGGTATTAGTTTAGCATGATCCGGTACGGTATCATAATTAACTTACTCGAGTACCGTATGCTAGTAAGGCTCGGTTGTGCACTCGTATTTTCTTTAATTTCTCTTTTTCTCTTCCCGTTTGTTCGCTCCTACAACCACAGCCCTTCCTCTATTCCCCCCTCCCTCTCTCTCTTGCAACAGTTTTGTTGAAGGACGCCATGTCGGGATATATTTATAAACCACCACCTCCACCGCCACCACCGGCACCTGCGCCTGCTACTAATTCCTCGTATCGTGGCCGCGGAAGAGGGGGGGGGAGGAGGGGAGGAGGAGGAGGAGGAGGGGGAGGAGGGAATAATAATCATGGGCAGCGCGGTCGAGGTTGGGGGTCCAACGCGAGAGGTGGGGGTGGAGGGCGAGGATATCGTGATCCTCTAGCCTTTCCACAAGCACACTACAACCCATATTTCCCACAACCGCCGAACCAATATGGACCCCCGCAGCAGCAACAATTCAACGTAAACTCGCTCTACCACCTACACCCCTTACCACTCCCGGCCCCTCCCCAATGGCCCCAGCAAAACCAGCAACCACAGCAACCACAGCAACCACAGCATCAGACACCATCCTACCTCTCATACTCCCAAGAGAAATCCACCCCAGCACCCACCCTGACCAGCACATCATACAAAACCGCACAATCTGGCTGGCCAGCAACTCCCTCCTACGCTCACTTCACCCCACCCACTCCGCAACTCCCACTGCCATCGCCGTCGGCACCACGAGCAAGAAAGGATGAAAAGCCAGATATGGACGAGGAAACCTGGCTCCGGCTGAATGGGTATGTACGCTATTTATTGCTCCTAGGCTTCGCAGAGGCTTTGCAGAGAAGGGTACTGATTGGTGTTGAAAAGTGGGAAATTGCTGGGCACGAATTTGAAACCCCCAGAGACGCCCGAGGAGATCGAGGAGTGGATCCGTGAAAGGAAGAGGATGTTTCCTACTAGAGAGAGGGTTGCTGCTAAGGTTTGTTTGCTCCTACTTATTCCTCGTTACTTGTTACTGGGGGAGGGGGAGGAGGGTGATGAGCAGCTGATTTATGTGGGAGCTAGTTCAAGGAAGAAGAAGAGAAGAGAAGGTTTGCTGAAGCTTCTGGCGCTGGCGCTGGCGCGGAGAGGGTACTTACCCATATTCCCACAATGCCCCCCCGTCAGGCACTAACCACCGCCCAGCAGCCCGCCCAGAACAAACGCAAACGCACCGAGCAGGGCCCCGACAGCGATCACCCCTCGGATCCCTTGCCAGACCCGGACCCGGACACGGACTCATGCTCCCAATCCTCCTCCCCGGAAGAGCTATCCGCTTCCAAAAAACCACCCCCCCATTCCCTCACCACATCTCCATCGCCACGGAAGAAACCCACGAAACATGCCGCCCTATGCCATGTATTCAAAACCACCGGCAAGTGTAGATTCGGCGGGGGGTGTCGGTATAGACACGCTCCTCCGGAGAGTAAGCAGAAGCAGGGGAAGGAGAGGAAAGGGGTTAAGTCGCTCTATCAGCGGGTATGTTATTTCCCTATGGTTATAATTGGGGGGGACGGTTGTGCTGACGGATGGTAGTTACTCGACCAAGATAGAGAGAAAGAGAATGAAATTGTCATCAGCGCTGTTCGGTATCTTTTTGAGAGGGGGTTGCTGAGTGTTCCTGCGGCTGGGGGTGGGGAGTAGCTTGTAATGAATGATATTATTATACTTTAGCAAGGGGAATTGGTGGGGAAATGATTCGATAATGTATCGTGCTGTGCTCGAGTACTTGTATTATATGATTATTTATTCACATATTTTGTCTACCGGTATTTGTCCCCGTCTATGCCTGACCTACCGGTACTTGCACAGTAAGCACAGTGAGTTGCTCACCGCGTACCGTAGCGTACTGTACTGTACAGTACCGGCACTGCATGTTGCGTACCGTGGGCCCAGTCCTACCGCTACCTGTACCATAACCAACGCCTGTCCCTCGGATGTTCCCACAATCCACAGTCAATGACGTATGCGGCTCAACTCGTACCTGGAATGCGAATCATTGCCCTCCAGCAACCCTTCAAGGCCCGCCCATCCACACACAGACAGACAGTCACGCGTCAAGCCTACTCCCCCCTCCCCAGCAGTGCGCCTTCCCGACCGGCAATCAAGACCTTTTCATTTATTCATTACACTTCGGTACAGTATGATACTAGAATACACAAAACCCCGCCTCCCAAGCCGCTTATGCTGGGTTCAGTCCCCTTTTCGCCGCCATGCCGCGGCTCTGGCTCTCGACCTCGGTTTCCCGGCCTTCTTCCCTGACCCCCCCTTTTTAATGCCGGAACCGGTGTTCGCACTAGCCCTTAGACCTTCAAAGACTTCGCTCTGCGATTTTAGCTGAGCGGCGCCGGCTCTTCCGAGGAGTTTGTGCGCCCTGCTAACGGTATCTTTAGCTTTGGCGTCGAGTTTCGGGACGTATACGCTTTTGCCCTTTGAGGAGCGTTTACCGGATACGGGAGGGTCGGGTTTGCGCATTTGAGTTCGCTTTATAGTCTTCGCTCTAGTGACGCGGAGCTTTCGGTCGTTGGCCATCTTTTTAGAGTCTAGGAGGAGGGCTTCGTCTACTGACATGGGGTCCTGTCGGACACTTAGTCTCTGCGCGAGGGGTACGCTGCGTAGAGTGGAAATACCTCAAACTGAACGTATGCAAACCCTTTCCCAACATTCGTTTTGGCGTCCCTAACAACGCGCACACTCTCCACCTTCCCGCAGGCACCAAAGTGCCGCCATAGATTCTCCTCTTGAGCCTCGAAATCCAGGTTCCCGATGAACACGCAGCGTTTAGGATCCTGCGGGGATGGGTGGGCGACCGAGTCGACCCGGATGTGCCGGTCGAGGACCACCTGGCCGTTTAGCTTCAGAGCTTCACGGGCTTCGGCCGGGGTGGGGTATACGATGTAGGCGTTTACGGTTTGCTGCTTTTCGTGTAGTTTGTGGGTTATGAAGGCGGCTTTTCGCGGTATTTGCTCGCTGAAGGCTACGCTGCGGAAGCGGATGGAAGTTATCTTGCCGGCGGTTTTAAAGTGGGCTTTTAGAGTGTTGTAGGAGGCCAGTTGGGTTGTTAGTGATACGGCAGTGAGATGTTAGGGGGGGTTCTTGCCTTGGATGAAATAGCTGTGGAGGGGACGTTGCCCAGGAAAACTGTCCTGGAAGACTTGTCGAGCTCGATTTCTCTGGGATTTGTGAGGGATTCGTGCTTGGTTGGGGGTTTCTCCTTTTCGGCATCGCTATCCTCCTCTTCGCTCTCTTCGGACTTTTCGTTCTCAGCCTCGGCTTTGGTCTTTTTTGACAACCGCCGGCTGTCTTCGGCTTCCTGGGCATCCTGTAGCTTCTGTAGATAGATATCCTCAAGTTCTTCCTCGTCGTCCCGTCTCTTGCGTTTTCGTTTCTTATCCTTCGGCGCGGTAGTGGCCTGTGAATCTTCCACGCTCTCGTCATCTCCCGATTGGGAATTGTGAGCGGCCTCATCGTCCGAGGTATCCTCTGGACCAGACCCCTCAGCTTCCGAAAGATCCCCATCGCCCTCCGTAGCTCCGCTCGATCGGGTATTTTCAATGGAGGCTTTTCGTGGAACTTGAACCGCACCGAACTGTAATGATTGGCAGAGACATGATCAGCGGACGAATGCTTGTGGGGGGGGGGGGGGAATCGGTTAAGGATATACGAACACTCGAATCAAACAGAGATGCCAGCGAGGGGTCAACCTTGCTGGTTGAAGGTGCCGTGACCGAATTTTTCTCCCACTTGCCCCTCTTTCCCATGTTTCCGTTGAATGAGGGGGTTGGATCGTTTGTTGCTGGGGTGGTATTGTGATGTGTCCGTTTGACTTCCTCGCCTGGATACGGGCGGAAGGGAGTAGAAGAGATACGTAGTTCAGGGTCTCGAACAGACAAAAAGGAGGAAGAAAGGGCAACAAGCACTCGTTTAACAATGGGGTTGCGGTGATTGTGATGGTGGGAGATGGGCAGTTTTCTTTTTTAGTTTTCTTTTTTCTTTTCTTTTCCTTTCTTTTCCCGGTCCCCAGAGGCTTTTTTTTTTGCCTTTGACACTTTTCTATCACTCTGCCTGTTGACACCCCAGAAATCTTGGCATCGGCAGTGGGCGCACCAGCCAGGCTTCCTTCCCAGTCCGTCTCGCTCTCTCTCCCTCTCACTGCCGCATCTTCAAGCTTTTCGCTGATTCCCCCCGTCCGTCTTGCTCAAATTTCAAGGGTTTCCGGTGTGCCTTCAAATTTAGGTGCGGGCCGGCGCTGAACGAGAGTGTTCGGCGTCACCTTATTAGATACAATGATCGGACCCGAAATCTCCTGTTCGAAAGGAAGAATCAAAAGATTAAAAATCAAAAAAAAAAAAGTCGCCTACGGTAATAGAAACGCCAGAAACGTGGGTTCGAGTTCAGTGAGTGACGAGAAATGAATTCAGTATGATAGAATCTCACCTGCAGTGTTGTGCCGGTCTTGAGGTGAATGTGACTAGAAACAGCGTTCCGGGCTTAGCTTTATCTCCCCTCTCATTTTATACCCTTTATTTCCTCTTCTACCTTTAGTTTCTGCTCATTGGGATCTTCTCTCCAAATCCTGCGCTGTTGTGTCTGTCCCCACTATCACGACCCGTTGGTCGTCGCCGTCGTCTGGCTTTCTGCCTCCCCTTCCTCTCTCCCACCCACACACAACTCTCACCCCCGGCTTCACAACAATCGCCGCCGTCTCCCTCCACTCCTCCTGCTGCTCCCTCCCCACAGCATTAACAGTAACCATCATCACTGTACACCAACTACTACTTGTACTGCCACCACCACCTACACCTCTGTCGTTCTCCCCCCCCCCTCTCCATCCCGTTCCTTATCTGCCCTGTCTGCTCCTTCCTTCCACACACCCTCCTGATTCCCGGCTCTTCTCCCCTCCTCTCGTTCACTTCACCATCCAGTCTTTCTTCCCTGCTCTCACCGCCATTTCACTCAAGGAAAAAAAAAAAAGGGAAGGGAAGGGAAAAGGGAAAGGAAAGAAGAGGAACCAAAAGGGGAAAAAGAAAGAGGGAGAGAGAGGGAAAAACGGACTCTGGCTCACTCCTTTTCGCCGACTGTGGGTCCCCATCCTCTCACGGGCCTCGGGAAATCCTCTTGTTCAACGTCACTTCTCACCACCATCCTGCTCCATCATCTCTCAATAGCATGACACCAGCTCTCAAACGCGGCAGCAGAAATCGTCCTTCGTCTACAGTCCTGGAAGAATCTGGTACGAATCTCCACTTCCTTCTATCCCCATATCCCGCATTCCCCATCTAGAGGCTTTCTCTTTTTCCCCTCTTCTTCTTACAAGCCGGCCAACCTCTCAGGAGTCTAACCAAAGTCTCTCTTCCCTCCTAATACAGCGGGGCGGCGATCAGGAAAGCGAACGCGTTCGGCAAGTTCATTGCCTCTCTCCTCGGAACCGGCTGCGTCTATTTACCCTTCGATCAACGGTCGTTCCCGTTCAGCATCTCGCCCTACCGCTAGGGAGCGGCTCCATCGCGACGTCGAAGGTCCTACGGACGAGTTGAGAGAGCCGGCTTTGGCGGATCGAATGGCACCGGACTCCACAACGACCACCGTGGAAATAGAGACCGTCACCATCGGAGCTTTGGAAGCACTCAACGGATCTACCCGATCGACCCTAACTGGGGGCAGGCGGAAACACACGAGTCACGCATCGGACCGCGACTCCGTATCAAGCCTTAGCGATATCGGCGAGGACTCAGAAGCCGAGACTGAGCGATTACACAATTCACCGCAGAAACAGGGACCGAGGTTGGTCCAACACAAAAGTACATCATCTACGGTTGTACCCTTCTCAGTAGAGACGCTTGGAAGAAAAGAAATGGGGGATCGGGACGAGGATCGGGCTACTGGGCTTGGTGAATCTACACCCGCTACCCCCACCACCTCCTCAAGCCCTAGTAGGAAGCGAAAAAGAGAGACGAATGGGTCGCCAGCACCGCGACCCGTGGAGGAGCCCAAGAGCAGACAGTCTACCCCTCCTTTAAAGAAGAGGAGCCAAATTGCTCAAGAAGTGTCGGAAAATGAAAGCACCAGTGCAAATAGTAGAAGAGGATCGAATACGGAGGCTACTACCGACACTGTTTCCAATGGAATTGCTCAGGATTCAATAATGACTAACTCGAAAGATGTGAGGCCACCAAAGCCGGTCAAGGCTATTCCTCCGAAAAACGAAGTGGTTCCCGGGAACACGGGAGACGAGCAAGATCCCGAACCCGTTGTGGAGGCGGAGGCGGAGGCGGACGAGGCTGCTGATGCCACTACTTCGGCTGCACTAGAGGAAGAGCCTTGTGACAATGTCGATACCACCCGAGAAGACGATGAAGGTAAGTTTGATTTTTAGTCTCAGCTACAGCGGGACTTTTCTCATGGGGTCACAGACACAGAACGCGTGAGGAGGAAGAATGCGGCTATGGAGGATTTGGCCGAGATAGAACGGGTCTTTGCCCAGCTGAAGGATAGGTAAGCGCTGCGCTTGGATCCGTATGGCGTGACATTCTCGGCTGACGCGCCACACTAGAATTTACTCGGAGAAGTTGAAGAGGGTTGATATGGAGATGAAGATGGTGCAAGACGGAACCCATCCAGAATTCGTGGCTCAGAAAACTTGTATCGATCAAAAATTAGAAGAGAAGGTTCGGTTGGCGGACGCACACTACAAGTATGGTATGGAATCTCTGTCCATCGCAACGCGGGTCAGTAGGGCACAGGTGCATTCTCAATATTTTCAAACTGTGCGTCACTTGCGAGAGGATGCGCTCGAGAAATGTAGCGAGCTTTGGTACCAGATCCAGAGGGAAAGGAGAGCTGGCGATGCTTTGGTTTCAGGTTTGTCCTTGGTAATACCCGTATGTTCGTGGGGCATTTGATTGTAACACACCGCTGTGCAGAATTCTCCTATCGGATACCAGATCGCCAGAGTACCAGGATTAAGCAACGGCAGCAATATAATTGGGAGGTGGCGCTTTTGAGCGGAATCGCAAAGCACATCGGGTTTCCTGCGGCACCCGATGTTGTGGGTGCATCTGAGGAAGAGATTGTTGATGACTTGGAATGTATGGGGGTGAGTATTGGTCCATTGAGATTTTGGCCGTAGTTCTTTATTTCGTTCAGGAGCAAGGATTTTTCGTTGGTTTGGATGCTAATGGGAGTTCTGCAGATCGCTACACGTGTACCTGCACGAGCAGGTGTAACCGTGCCTCCCACCGGTAGTCTACGCGAGAGAGTACCGGTACCAGATGACTCCTATGGGGGACTGCTACCGACCAACTGGTCACATCCGCAGCCTTCTCCTCCATCACCTGCGCCACAGCCAGCCCACCAAGCCCCCGGACACCCTCATGTACACATACACCATCACCACCACCACAACCGTAGACATACTGGACCTAATCAACCCGACCAGGCCCCTTACCTTGCACGCCGTGGTCCGTCGGCTCAGGGCCATAATCCTGGGCATCAACCATCGGCCGTGTCGCTATCCTCTTTGCTCCAAAATGATGTTATCAAAATGGAGGGTCCGTCCACGCACCCCCCCAGCACCTCTTCAATGGGTGCTACGCCTCATCCTCCCCCACGGGCGTCCCAGTTGTATTCTTCACAAAGTGCTCAACACTCCCTTCCCCCTCCAACTTCTCTCCAGCAGCACATGAACCCATTTGCTCGTCCTAGCAATGCCGATTCTCACCAAGGTCACCCATCAGCACCTCAGAGGCTTGATATAGGCAGAGGCTCAACACCTGGAGACGCAAGGACATATAGTGCCATGGGAGGAAGGGGGAGTGAGGTCCTAGATGGAGGGCTCCGAAAGTTGAAAGAGGAAAATGACAGTGCTATAGGGATTGGTCCTCCTGTGCTTGGTGCGCCTGCACCGTTGAGGTATGGTCCTAGAATGAGCTATTCGTGATCAACCTTTTTCTCTCCACTGTAGGTATTCATAAGGCCCAGGCGCTGTCAATTTTCTCCTTTTCTAAACACGGGGGGGGGGGTTTTTTTTTGTCCGGGGCGAATTGTGTACAGGGTATTCCTAAGATTGGGATGTTCTAATGTTTTCCTCTTGCCATCATCGTCATCTTTCGCAGCGTTATTGATGTCTCTAACGCTCACATGGAATGTCGACCTTTCGTGTATCCTTAACATTTCCGCTGTTTTCATGAACTTTCACCTTGGGTCTGGGTCTGCTCTTTGTATTTAATGTGGAGTACCTAATTTCGGATGGGCGGAAGTTTGCATGGGTTGGATGGAGAACGAGAGCGGTGGTCCGTGTTTGGTTGAGGTTCTTGTTTTTTCTGTTTTTTTTTGTAAAAGCTATTTTTTCTTTCTCTCCTCTCTCATTCCCATTTCATGTATCCGTGTTAAATACCTCTCATTACCATACCCCTCTTTCTTGTCCTTAGGCTGTCTGGCGGCGGAGTTTTTATTTTATCTTTTATTTTTACCTCTTTGTCACTTCCTTCACTCAGATTCCCCATTATTCCATGCGTCCGGGGAGCTAGGCTTTTGGAGGGACACGAACGTTACCGTCAGATGTTTTGGTACTCTTGGCAATATCAGATGGTGATGTGATGGTTCGGTACTGTGCTTGTAACTTAACGGTGTCGCAGTAGGGAGGCTCAAAAGTTCTCGGTACACGGAAGGTGCAGGTGTTTCGGTAGAGGTGTATTTTTTTGGGGAATTATGGTACACAGCAAACCTCCTTGGGAGGAGGGATGCAGCGTACCAGTACAGCACAGAGGTGCGGTCATTTTTATCCAAGCAGTACACCTGTATATTTGCGGGGTATATTGTGTGCTCGGTTCGCAGCGTACTGAGAGCTTTAAACCTCCCTAATAGTCCAAGATAGTCCAAGTCACAGTACTCGTACACTGTACGAGTACCGTACCCGTATCACAAAATTGAAGCTTTGTTCGGTCCACCAACCCCCCCCCCGGAACCATGATACTCGAGTAGACCCTTCTTGGAATGATGTGACGTATGATAAAAATGAGAAAAGCGGCTTTGCGATTATCTTTGGGGGCTAGCTTGACTCCCTAAGAGTCTTATCTTATCGATAAGCCAGTTACCGGTGGTGGCACCCATCCTCCACATCTAAATTAGCCTGCCCTTGCCCAGTTATCGGTACCGGTATCCGCATCGCCACTTCCTGCAGCCGCCAACTTCGCCACAGGGAAGTTGAGGGGCATCGACGGCGATAGCAGGGAGGTTCAGGGCTCTCAGCACGCTGCAAACGGGCACACAATATACACTGAAAACACAAGTGCACCGTTTTGAACGTCACCGATAACTGCCATCAGGAACAGTATATTAGCTTGCTTGTGCTTGCCCGGCAAGTGTCGCTAGTGTGACAGACTGAGTAAAGTGCAGATAGGGATGATGGATAGAATGACCGTACCTCTGCACTCAAGTACCAGTATGCTGCTCCCGAGGAGGTTTGCGGTGTACCGTAATTTCCAGAAAATACACCTCTACCAAACACCTGTACTCGAGTACCTTCCATGTACTGAGAGCTTTGAATCTCCCTACCAGTAGACTAAGTGTGAGTAAGTGTACGTACAGGTACCGGAACGGTAGGTTCTTATTGCTCCAGCCAATGAGGATTCTAGGGCTGCCTCGATGATCCAGGATTTACGATACGAGTGCGGTACCGGTATTAATAACGGCGAGCCGGCACTCCACCGATGCGGATCTATTATGCACACGCCGGACTGAAATCTACCCAACCACGGACACAGGGAATCACGCTATTGAGAGCTGAGATCCTCTACCGGTAATAGAAGCACTTATGGCGAGACTACCGTACGGTAGACTACCCGCTACGGTATTCTGCCTACTAATTTCTATCATACCTTTCAGAAACCTCCGAAATTCGGAGCTTGAGGGTACCCGACCTTGGAAAATCTCGCTTGTGCCATTGCGGCTCTTTGTTAGCGCTTTGATCGGTCGCGCCTTCCCAGCCCGGAAAACCTCTCTTCTTCATCCTCCTTCCCCCCCAACAAACCGCCCCACTGGTCTCATAACCAAACCTTTTCCCAATCATCCAGACGCTCCTTCCGGGTCATATCCCGGCTTTAGTTGTGTGTGCGGAACCTTGCCTACCCACCAAAATCATTGCTGCTTCGAGGGCCTTTTTCTCTCCCCGTTAATACTCACAATGTCTGACGACGAATCTGGTTCTTCGCCCAAGGAAACTTATATCGCCTACAGGATCAAGACTGTGGGTGCACACGATGCCCTATAGGGTTTATTTGTTGTTTCCAATTGACTGATATCTGACATCTTTCCCCCTCACTCCCATTAGGTCTTTGAGTTTGCCCCGGGAGCTATTGACCAGTTGACTCGCACCTATAAGTATGTCTAAGGTACTCCCTGTACTGAGCCCCTACTAAAGTGAATTGCAGAGAAAGACAGTCCAGGGAGCTGATTCCAATCGACTGCTACTTTGATTCAAAATTAAAAGTGAGTATTATTATTATTCGAACCACCAGTTTCTTTTTTTAAAAAAATCAAAAAAAAAATCGTGTTTGTGGGCTGAGCTGATTGATTGGCTTTAGCTCTTCGTGCTCTGGGGAGATCAAGAGGCTTGCTATAGTGCCTTCAAAACTTTCTTGGGTATTCTCAGCCTTGCCGCTATGAATGCCGTAATTACAATTCGGTATGGGGACAAGGTAGGGGAAAACCTCCCGTGGATACTAGTGAAATTGAGATGGGAATGTTAATGGCGAATCAGATCGAAGCACCGATCAAAAGATCTCCGTTTTCACACGTTAATCTTGGCGCCGTTCAGTGGACGGAGGATGTATCTGATGATGAGTCGGACAGTCATGATGGGGACGGCGACGACGTTTTACTTTCGCTGGTATCCCCCTTCCTATCCACGCTTATCGCAGGTGGCCAGTCCGCTCATTGTTTGGTAGGTTTCCGCCAAGAACCCAAGGGCTGGTTCGCTAAAGCCTGTTGCGGAGCACAAGTACACCGAGACTTGGGATCCAAAGCTATCTGCGATTGATTTTAGCTACGTACTCCACCCTGTGGATGGGTACGATTTTATAGAGCAGATTTCGAAGGTCACTGGATGCACCCTTTCTCCCGATAAAGTTAATAGAGTGGTCAAAATAGGCGCGAAGAGCCCTGCATCGATAAAGCTTGCTCTAAAGAAACTCTCCAAGGTCCTTGAACGTTATGTAAGACAGCATTGTTGCTTTTGTGCGTTCGACAGTGCTGACTATCCGGGGCAGTGTCGCGGCTTCGAGTCAATTGAGGTTACCCTCGTCGACCCTGATGACAGAAAGAAGTTTGAGATCCGTCTGGTCTCTTTAGAAAAGCAGAGTGATCTAAACAGAACTACTCTCTATCCTCATGGCTCAAAGTGGGCTGAAATTCCGGCCGACAACAAGTTCCTTATTCGTATGGCCGAATATTCCCCGGAAGCGGGGAAGTTTCTCAATTGCAAAATCGAGCCACATTCACTCCAGGAGCGGTTCGCGTGTTTGGCAGATCCGCGACACAGATGGGGGCACTATCTTGAATCGAGGGGAGTATGGGATGGAGATGCCGGTGACTCATCGGCACCATCTCCGTTCATACTGTCCTCGGCACTTAACCACAACGGCGGCTTTCTTATGGAACCCGAGTCCACCAGCGGTGATGATGGGACTCCCACTCTAGACTTGTGTGATCCTAGGTTTGGTTTTGGTTCACCTTTTGGTGCCCAATCGCCGCACGAGGTGCGCGCCAATGCTGCTCCGACGGTCAAGCCGACCACACGCACTGTCAGGGGCAAGACAAGTGCAGAGCATGAGAAAAGCATTGGTTCCGTTATCAGGGGTAAAGACAACCTTCTGGATGGTGAGATCAACTTGGAGTCGCCAATCCTTTCACCTACGCCTGCGCCTACAAGAAACCAGGACCACGTCTTGTCTTTTGAAGGAACCTTCTCGGAGATACAGAAGCCACCTGCAACTATTGCCCAGACTACTCGCACTGTGAGAAAGCCACGGGTTAGGAAGACCGATGCCGTGGCTCCCGAGACTGGGGCAAAAACTCTGCATCGTACAATGAACCAGCAGGCCCCTGCGCGTGCTAAAGAGGGCCGTTCCAATCTTACCGATGGGGTAGATGATAGTAAGAAGTACGCTCTTGAGTGTATCGTTGTGCGTACCAAGGCTCATGGCATTTCTAGGGTGACAAGACAAAATGTTCAGAAAATACACAAGATTTTCAAATCTTGGTATGGGCCCACTTTCCTGTCGGTGCACAGTTGCTAATCTCGTGGTCAGCTTTACGCACGTCCGTGGTTGGAGAGGCCATGTCAAGTTTGAAGCGAGGTGGGTCTCTTCAAGAGTTTCGGTTCATGTGGATTCTGACTTGTCAAAAGTTTGGGACGTATTGTCCTTACGGGGGTTCCAAAAACCATATACAGACGTGGAATCGAATGGGGTGATTGGGAACCATCCGTGGGAAAGCTTAGGGAGATTAAAACTTATTTCACTAGCGTGTGCGCCCGCCTGTTCCTTTTTCTCAAGAGTACTCGATACTTACCATTCTGCAGGGTTACCCGTGAAGCTCATGATGTCGAGCATGTCCTTGATTTGAAGATTAGCAGGTTTGAGGCCATGTTTTCGGGGGATCTTAGATCGGAGAAGATCACATATGAATTTCATTGCGATGTAGAAAGCAAAAACAGGTACGTGCACCTCGGGGTAGGAAGAATTCAACTAATCTTTTGCAGAATATTTGTCATGGATGCGCAGACATTTGATGTGACCTGCTACAATGACGTCAGTGACTTTGGGACTGTTTACTGGGCCCATCCGACTAAGTATTCACGACTTTGGCACCCTGGTATATCCTGTTAGGCTGATTATGTTGCAGAGCCTGGGATGCCAGAATTAGACTTGCGGGCTGTAAGGTTCTTGATCTCGAAACACCTGGATTCGCGGATTTCCTCGCGAGCATCTCTATTCGGTACCATTGCCCCTATAGCCTAGTAATAAACCAAAATCGCTGACACTTTGATAGTGGCGGAGTGAACCCTCCCGCGGTCAGTTTCGATGTTAAGGGAACTGGTATCACTGTTAACAAGGTCCAATACCGCCACATGCTCAGGTATCAAGTGAATAAGAAAGCCTGTCTCGGCCATGAGATCGACATCGCTGTCACGGAGCTGCAGGATCTCCAAGTCAATCGTCGGAGCGGCCCGGGAAGGCGCTATGAGGCAATCTCCCTCGGAAAGTAAGCATACCAGCCAAGAGAAATCCTACTCATACTTGTCTAACAACCGATCAATCGCTCACAGACCTGCCATGGCCGCTGATGAGCGTCTCTCCTACTCATTTTCCCTTATCCCGGTTGAGATTGAGAAGCATCTGGCAGAGAACTATAATCTAGAGGTGGGTGAAGAAGTCACCTGGAACACAGAGGTCCTTGCAGATAGAAACGGAGACGGGATCCTGAAGGCCCTTATTGACGTCGCCAACACTCTAATCCAGAGGGTTGATGATGTCGGGTTTGATAATAACAGCGTGCCGTACCAGAGGCCGGCGTAGCGACCCAGGCCCCGGGAGAAACATCCACTAGCACTGTGCAACCGAAAGGAAAGGGGAGAAGTGTGGTGACGGTGGGTGAAGTGTCTAGCCATTTCTCAAGTTTCTCTTTCACATTAATCTCTTTCGGCTTTTCTTTTGGTGGAATCTATTCTCTCCGAGCGTTGGTTGAACGGATTGCGATGACGGGACAATGAAACATTTACTTTTGTTAGAGTTTAGTGTTGGGCAACATGATTTGGCAGCTTCCGGAATAACTTGGTGGTGTTTTTCGTGGTCGGTTGGCGTGATGGCGGTTCATCTTTGGCTAGTTTTACAAGGGTTCATGAGCAATATATCATATCACTTTCAATATTGAAAATGGACTGAAATCCAGAATGTGAACCCTTATATCGACTCAATTCGCTACAGGATAGAACGACGGCCATAACAGACAATAAATACAAATTTCCTAGTCCAGCACAGCCTTCCGGATTGCAAGAATCCAACCTCCCATTCCCATTCCTGTTTTCCCAATTCCTGCCTTGAATGCCGATTAAACATTCTTTCAAATTCCACCTTGCACATCAACAGCATTCCTATACCAATTCCAACCATCACATATGGGTGCTGTTATGCAAAAAATGTACCAATCTCTCAACCCAACAAATATACTTCACTTCATATGAAACTTCTTGAGCATGTAGAGTACCCTCTAATAGTCTTAAAAAATATTTATCAAAGAAATTTGTATATCTATAGACTCACAATTAGATTTTTTCAGATTTTACACTTTTCTCTTTTTTGCATACATAGGTAGCCTGAGTTTTCAGCTATCAGAAAAATATTTAAGAGCATTGTTTTAGTAGTAGAATTGACTGCTATAAAGAATTTTGTAATACTGGTTACATGTGAGCGTATGAAATATTTTTCTGTTTTACAATTTTTCTGTGGTTGCTATGCAAACTTGAAAGTGTAATTACACAAAACCAGGTTTAAGGTGTCCAGCCTATTTTCGCATATCAACACCCATATACAAGAATGATGCCAACAAGCTCGTTCCATACAACGTGGACGGTTTGCCACATTCGAGTGAGATCTATGATCGAGTGATATTCTGTGTTGAGGTGTTGGGATAATTGTGAGCGCTCCTGGTGGTGGCGGTAGGTGGTGAATGGGGTAAGCATACAAGGTGCTCTCCCCCACGCTTCTCCCAAGACCGACCCGAAGTGTACACATATACTATCATACCTAACTTAGGCTACCATACAGCCCCCTCCACTCACCCGCTCCTGTCTGTCTCCTTCTAGGTGAGTTGGCTTAATCAATCGCTCCATCTGGAATAAAACGGACAAAATAAGAAATACATGTTATCATGGTAGAAACATCAGATCCCAATACAGCGCCGGAAAGGACGAGAGGAAAGTAAGAAAGAAAAGGAAGAGAAAAGAAAAGAAACCCCACCACCATTACAGGGAATTTTTTAGCTTATTCAAGTGATGTAGAAAAAGGGCGAGTATTTTATCGTTGAGAAAGGGAGGGAGGGAGGGATCCTGGTGACATTCGCGAACTAAACCTTCACCCCCCAGCTTCAATAATCGCTTTAACCAGCGCCTCTCGCCTGAGCTTCCACACTTCCTCACCGACCAATTCTCCCAGGATTCTGATAAGCTGCGCTTTGACCTCTTCGGCACTGGCGCCCGGCATGACCGGCGCGATGCCATTTTTCCCTTTCCCTCTTCCCCCCTCCTCCCCCCCTCTCCCTCCTCCTCTTCTAACTGTTTGATAACCCCCACCAAAGCGCTCAGACACATCTCCGCCTCGCTCTTCCTCGCCCCTTCGTCCTCGATTTCTGGGCGGATAACCTTCTCGTAGAGATTTGTGTTGGGGAGTATTAGAACTCTGACGGCCTCTCGGCCGCCTATCGCGGCGAGGCCAATGATACTGCCGTAGTGGGTTGGTAGCGGCTTCGCGGGGTCAAGGAAGTGCTTCAGGCAGGTTCTTGTGAGTCTTGGCTTGAGCGTGTGCGAGGAGTCACCGAAGCGTTTGCAGACGAGCTTCAATAGTGAGGCGGAGAGGTCTCTCAGTGCGTAGTGAGCCGGTGTCTGGGAGTGGGGGTCGGAAGAGGAGGAAGAGCCGAGGTGCTTGCCGATGAGACATGTCAAGATCGGAGGGATTAGGGAGGATACGTAGGGTTCTATGAAGAAGGAATCGTTCTCCAGAAGGGCGTGAGTCAGGGACATCATCTGCGTTAGCGTGAATAGGCTCCGCAGGCCATGTGTTGTCTTCTCCGAGATGAACTGCACGAAGTAGGGGAGTAATTGGTGCAGTCCGGGGTCCTTGCGCAGACTAGCGAGTGCGGCGTTGCGGATTGCATCGCTTGTGGATTCATCGGTTATCGAGGTGCTTATTCGCTCAAAGTAGAGTTGGAGTTCCTTTGAGAGGACGTGCTTCACGAGGGGTTTTATGGTGACGGTTTCGTTGGTTGTGGGGTTTAGGGTTGAGGCAATGGAGAGGGTTGTATTGCATGAGGCACCCTTTGGGGTCGTTTCTGAGAGGCGAGCGGCTTCCGAAGGTGTGGGATTCTGGGGGATGGCAGGTTGGACCCCTTCGATTGCGAGCCAGTGGCCTGGGGAGGGAGCGGTTAGCGGGTGCTATACGGGCTATCACCCGATAAGTAGAGAGAAGTAGCACGCACCGGTAAAAGTAACATCCCTCGGAACTTTCGGTAGCGGAGCATTTATAAGCTTCTCAAAATCGACCTCATCATCCTCGACATAGAAGATCGGCTGAGCCTGTCCCAGCGACGCTTCCCCGAACCGGAGCGGACGGGCAGACTCATAACCATAGAGAGGCTCAACGTCTAGGACCCGAAGAGCGTTGCTAATGTCCTGAGTCCCCAACGTAGTTCTTCTGGCGTGGTGCATGAACTTGAGCGCTTCCTGAAGGACCTGGTGGATGCGGTACTCGACGTCCATTGCGAGGTTTTTGGCGACATCTTCGTTGAGATTGACGACTCCGACGGACTCAGAGACGTCTTTTATTGTATCGCCGTTCCAAAGGGACATGGTTGCTATAATGTTTGGAAGGAATTCTATGCAGTGTAGAGCGTGGTTGTGCAGTTGTGATGGAGAGAGAGTTCAGGTTTAATAGTTTATGGTTGCTTATCAGCACGAGCTAAAAGCCGGGTAACAGAACCCAATGGCTCCACACGGTTTACCCAACCAAGCCAAACCAAAACAAAGGAACACAGGCCTGCGACGCAACGCACACTATTCCTTCACGTTTCCCCATTCATTCTTTTAACC